ATTTTCTGAATGCAGCCACTTTGGGCAGAGGCACACAGGGGTCCAGTTGCTCCCTGCTACCCACAACTTCATTTTAGATCCAGACATGAGCTTTAGATATAAATGTAGGACAGTAGGATTTTTTCCTGTTCAATTTGGTAAAATTTCCTGTTCTTTTTTTTTTTTTTTTTTTTTTTTTTGGTTTTTCGAGACAGGGTTTCTCTGTGTAGCTTTGCGCCTTTCCTGGAACTCGCTTTGGAGACCAAGCTGGCCTTGAACTCACAGAGATCCACCTGCCTCTGCCTCCCGAGTGCTGGGATTAAAGGCGTGCGCCACCACCGCCCGGCAAAATTTCCTATTTTACTCTCATATAAGGCTAGAGATTTCTGGCCATCACTCACCTCTTATAGCTGCTGTATCTAACCTTCTCTGGTTTATTCCTTAGAGAGTCTAGCAAATTGTGCCCATTTGCCCCCTTCACTCTTGACCTCCTGACTTCGAACTCATGCACCCCCTACCTTTGCCTCTAAAGTGCTGGAATTGCAGGTGTGTTTAGGGGTGGTCAGTTCCTCTTACAAGTTTTGAAATATGTTTATTTGCCCATGTGTGTGAACAAAGCAGAAGTGTGAGACTAAATTCGCAGAAAAGAAGTATATGGTTGTTTTGTGAACTGTTACTGTTGCTTTGAGACAAGGGTGGTGGTGCTCATCAAGGCCTTGACCTCCTGATTCTCATGCCTCTGCTATCCAAGTGCTGGGACTGCAAAAATGCACCAAAGACACCCTACAGAGGCCCTGGGACCAGGGTCTCTAATCAGAACTAAACTATGATAAACCAGGACTGCGGTTGTTTGCAGTGCAGGGATGCAGAGATGGATTCACTGGAAATCCCGTGGATAAAGACTCAGGATAAATTCCCAGAGATGTACATCAGCGAATATGGATTCACCTTTCCTTTAGGGACTGAATTTCATGCCAGGTCATTGTACACAAAGAAATTCCCTAACTGAACATGTACTTATCCACAATGGAGACCTTGCAGTCCACGGCCACACACAACATGTACTCTTCTTCTCCCTGCCCACCCTTCATCCTCTTACAATACATGAAATAAATCTCTTCTTCTTCTACTCCAATAGAGAATTTGACATTATGACAACAATGTAAAAGACTCTCTTGTGGACAGGAATAGAGTAGATGACTATGAAGGAGTCAGTGATGCTTCAGGGTCACAGTGTAAATAGCCTTGAACAAGCTGTGTCAACCTAGCCACGTATCAAAGGTAAAACTGCTCTGATCAGGTGTGGTGGCTCACGTCTTTAATGACAGCACTCTAGAAGAAGAGGCAGGTATATCATTCTGTGTCCAGTGATGTTGTGGGGTATTTGGACACTTGTGTAAAGATATATTGCTGTGATTGGTGTAATAAAAAGCTGAACTGCCAATAACTAGGCAGGAGGTATAGGTGGGACTTCCAGGAAGAGAGAGAACTCTGGGAAGAAGAAAGGCAGAGCTGCCTGCCAGATGTGGAAGAAGCAGGAGGGGCTGTAAAGAGATGAGATAACAAACCTCTTACCAGAACACAGGTTATCAAATATAGGTTAATTTAAGTTATAAGAACTAGTTAGGAACAAGCCTAAGCTAAGGCTGAGCATTCATTAGTAATAAGTCTCGCTGCCATTATTTGTGAGCTGGCGGTCCTAAGGAGAAAGTACTGCTACGCGATGCAGCCTGGTTTACATAACAAGTTCTAGGCAATCTGGGACTGCATAGTAAGAACCTGCTCACAACAGCATCTACAATGGTCTGCAGATGTTCATGAACATCTGGCAGGGCTCAGCAGTGAAGAAGAGCAGAGTGTATTCTTCTCCCCCAGGCTCCCCAGCCCCCAGGTTCCTCAAATTCCAGGTCTGTGGTTTCTGTTTCCCTCTGCTAGCCTCACCAGGCAACTGCATTTCTGGCATGCAAACAGAAGGGGAATGGGGTGACAAAAAAAAAAACAAAAATTAATGTGTATGTAAAAAATTCCTCTCACATATTTCTGTGAAACTGTACATTCCAGGCTATAAAAGAAACCAAAAAGTTGAGAGAGAGAGACAGAGAAAGAGAGAGAGAAGGAGAGAGGAGAGAGAGATACATAAGAAAGGTTAGAAAAAGGACATTCAAAAATGTAAACTTCCTAATCATCTGTCTTTTATCATATCAATTAAATTTGGAAAATAGTTACTTCTCTCTTGAAATATTCCACATACAATCAATTAGTAATATCTCCAATGAGGCAAATGTCTCAAAACTCCTGGTTTCTAACATGGTGAATATGGGTTGATACCCACGTAAGCATAATTACTGTTGAAGTGTACACAATTTCTAAGCCTATGTAGAGATCTTGACATCAAGGCATATGAGAAATGCTGACTTCCTGGCTTCTAGGTTGGACTCAGAAGGATGTGGTTACCAGGACTGGAATGGCAGGCATCAGAGTAGAGCAGTGTGTGCTCAGACGCTGTTCCAGGACACCAGGTGCCAGCACTTAGGTAGAGAATTCAGAACTCAAGAGGTGCTGCTCCCAGGAGTCAATTGTTCCATTACCCAACCCAACAGGCCGCTGTCACTCTCACTGGGAAGTTTTAGAGAAGACATTCAGCTTCACTAAGGCCAAGGTTATAAATTAAACAGAGACCAGTAGAGACTCAAACCTGAGCCATTATTCAGGATGAAGACCCACGAGCCTCTCTTTCTGCTGTTGGTGATCACCTAGGCTCTTGGTGCTCTTCTTCCTGTTCACCCTTTAATCCCTTGCAACACACTTAATAAATCTCTTCTCTCCTACTCCAACAAAAACTGTGACACCAGACACCAGAAGGTGAGTGCAGGGAGCCGAGGGAAAAGTCTTCTGCAGAGCTGAGAAAGGGTGCAAGGGAGGCAGCCTTTGTCCTTGCTCAAAAGGACCCTCTTGCCACCCAAGCTAGGCAGGTTCCTGCTTTGTTCCCTCCTGGCCTGTGCTCCTAGAGTGTGACCCTAGAGAAGTTTACCTTTCATCACTTGCCACTGCTAGGTTCACAATCTCTGTGGATTTCTACACTCTGCTGTCCCAGTCTGGCCTCCCAGAGACTCATTCATTACTTTTCAGCTAAGTGGACCACATGGAGTTTGTGGGATTCCACAGTGAGGTGGACATTCCCAGGATGCAGCAGGGGCACAATGGGTTGAGAAGGAATAACAGAAGTAGTACAGACAGGAAGTCACCTATCGTTGGGTGTATTTGAGGATCTTGCTTCTAGAAATAAAACAGAGGCAGGATGGAGAGTGACCAGTGTCAGTAAGCAAGACCTAGAGCCATCCTCATCCATGGGATCACAGCAGCTCAGGTCTCCAGGCTCAGGCTAACATACCAGACAGTTAAGTCTGACAATACAGACTCCTTCATCCACATGGAGTGAATGACATACCAGGTAACTGCACACACACACACACACACACACACACACACACACACACACACACACACACACAAGACATTAATGAACAGTACTTGTCCAAAGTAGAGCTCCTTCAACCACTCCATACACAGCCACTAGAGCTCTTCTTCCTGCCTACCATGTAGTGCTTTGCAACAACTCTATGCTGTTTCTACTATAACATAAAATGTGAATCAATCATTTTGCCTCCCAGCTCTTCTTCAGCTCACTACAGCATTGATAAACACGAAGCTCTACGGAGAACATTTTGAGAGCACGTGAAATCCTCACTATAAGTTTAACCATGTCGTAATGCTTACAGATTTTTCTGTTGAAATTCATGCTAATATTAACAACTCAGATCTAATAATATTTATTTAAATGCATGAACACTGAAAGACCTATAAACTTGGTCAGCAATAGTCTACCTTTTGAAAGTAACATTCGTTAACAAAACATACACTCAATGAACAAGACTCTCCTGTGGACATGGATGCAGCAAATTATGAAGGATCCAATGATGTCCTATTTTCCAGAATGTAGGTACCACCTTTGTCAAGCTAGTGATGTCTCAAAGAGAAATATCACCAATGAGCCCAGCAAAATAGCCCACACCTTCAACTCAGCACTCGAGAGGCAGAGGCATATGGATGTCTGTGAATTGTAGGTCAGCCTCAAAAGAAAGGAAAATGATCTGAAGACATTAATAAAAATATGCCCGCTGTGGCTGGAGAGATGGCTACTCTGTAAAGAGGACCAGAATTGGAGTTCCAGAAGTCTGGGAGCTCACAACCTCCTGTCCATCCTACTACAGGGTTTCTAACACCCTCTTCTAACCTCCAGAGACAACTGCACTCCCCCACACTCACACATAAACACACAAACATTCACACAGCACCAACTGAAAATAACTCTTAAAAATATTCTTTCTGTATATTTCTGTGAAAGTGTATTTTGCATATTGTAAAGAAAACAGAGGCATTAAAAAGGAAAATCGGAATCTGAGGGAATTTTAGTGGGAAAGATGAGGTCAAGGACAGGCAGAAATGTAAACATCTTTCCACCATATCATTGTACTTTGGAAAGTAGTTATTTTTATAAACATTCTGCTTATATGAAATTTGATATTAATGTGTTCAATTAAGCAAATGTGTCAAAAATTCTCAGTTCCTAACACGATGAACATGGATTGATATAATGTACATAACATAAGTTCATGTAGACATCCGGACACAGACATGTTTGAGAATCATTGATTCGATGGCCTCTGAGCTGGGCACAGAAGGATATTATGACTAGGACCAGCAGGACAAAGATCAGGATAAGCAACTTGTCCCCCAACACTGCTCAAGCATACCAGGACCCAGAGATGGATCTAAGTTGTGGAAGCAGGGCCCTAGAGATTCCTCTTCCAGGTTTTCATCTCTCCATGACCCAATCCAAAAGGTTTGTTTCATTACCATCGGCAATTCCTAGAATTTAGAGAAGCCAATCAGACTCCTCCACATCAAGACTGTAATGTGAACAGACTAAGCAGAGACTCAGTCTGCACTCATCGTACAAGATGAAGACCCTTGCAGCCCAGGCTCTCCTGCTGCTGCTCCTGGTCAACCTGGCCCTGACTAACCATCTAGAGGGTGAGTGTGGGTGTCGGTAGAGAAATTTCCTAACCCGGAGGAGCAAAATGACTCCTACCTTAGGGTAGCACAACCAAGGAACTTTGTCTCCACCTCTGTCCCAGACAGTCCAGCCTATTCCCTTCTCCATTCTGCATTCTGATCCTGACCCCTGCTCAAGCCCCCCAACCTGGAGCCCCCGTGCATCAGCATGGGGTTCTAGGAGGAAATTAGGCATCTAAAGGCCCACCTCACCTAGGTTCACACTCGATGCTGTTTTTCCAAACCCTGCTGACCTGGCCCGGCCTTGTGGATTTCTACTTTACCTATCTTGGCTATGTGGACGACACACAGTTCATGGGATACAACAGCAGAGCAGAGAATCCAAGGATGGAACCCCGTGCTCCGTGGATGCATCAGAAGAAGCCAGATTTTTGGGAGTATGAGACACAGAGAGCCTTGAAATTCACAAAGCAATTAACAGAACAACTAAAGGCAGTGCTCCAGATCCACAACCAGAGCACAGCTGGTGAGTGAACCTGAATCAGAAATCTCAGTCTTTGAGGTCCCCATGGGATTGCCCCTAGTCACTATGTCTGAGGTTCACCCACAGAAAATGTGGCTCATGGAGACTAGGCTCCAGAGAGCCACAGGACACTGACCTGGATTTCTGTGCAGCTGAAATCCAAATCTGGCCAATAAGAAAGGCCAAATGAGCGGGTCCGATCAAATAGAGGGCTCCACCAAGGGACCTGGCCTGTGGGACTGATTGAGAGTGGGGGTTTGGCCAGGATATCACACAGTCCAGATGGTACATGGATGTTCAGTGATGCATGGAGGGTACTTCCGTCGCGGATACTATGAATTATTCTACGACGACTGGGATTACATCGCCTTGAATGAGGACCAGAGCACCTGGACTGCGTTCGGCCAGGTAGCTCAAATCATCAGGTATCAGTGGAAGATGCAGGATTTTTCGGAATTGTTGAAGCCATACCTAGAGGACACCTGCGTGGAGAATCTCCGAGACTATCTTGAGAAAGGGAAGGAGATTTTACTGAGAACAGGTAAGGAAGGGAACTGGCCCATCTGCTCTGAGACTGGAGCTCCTGTCCCCTGAGGATTCCTCCTCAGCAGGGAGCAGCTGGAATAAGGATTCTGCCTTGCCACCAAGGTGCAAGAGTATTCCTGGGTTCCCTGATTCAGTGGAAGGGACAGTTCGGTTTGTCCAATAAGCAGCACTCTCCCCCCACCCCATCTGCTTTGTGAACAATGCCCACTCACAGACCTGTTCACTGTTCACGTACCATGACTGGGGAGGTCTGACTCCAGGATTGCTGCATCCCTCCATCCCCACCCAGTCAGAACCAGAAGTCCATCTCCCAGAGGGAGATCTAAAGGCCCCTGCTCTGTGCTGGCTCTCACAGATTCTCAAACTATCCAAAGAATAGATTATCCTCTTCACATCCTACGTTTAGGCCGAAGGGTGAAGTCTGCACTCCTCCTCCACCGCAGCTTTCCCATCCATTCCACACATTATCACACGAGTTTTGCTGAATCCATAAGAAGAATGAAAAATGACTGAATTTTTCAATTGTTTCCCTCAGATACCCCCAAAACATCCATGACCCATAAGGTCAGAGCTGATGGGAAAATCACCCTAAGGTGCTGGGCCCTGGACTTCTACCCTGCTGACATCACCATGACCTGGCAGAGGAATGGGAGCAACCAGACACAGGACATGGAGATGATGGACACCAGGCCTGCAGGGGATGGGACCTTCCAGAAGTGGGCAGCTGTGGTGGTGCCTTCTGGGGAGGCACAGCTATACACATGTCATGTGGATCATGAGGGCCTGCCTGAGCCCATCACACTGAGATGGGGTAAGGGCTGGGAGTGATCACAGAGCCTATCACAGAGACAGTTGGATTTTTTGGGAGAAATGGATCAGGGTCATGACTGATAGCTGCACATCAGAAGCCTCACTGTTCCTTCCATTCTCTGTCAGAACCTCCTTGGCCCTCTGTCCCCATCATGACAATTGTTACTGGCCTGGTTCTTGGAGCTGTGCTTATGGGAGCCGTGGTGACTTTTCTGATATGGAAGAGGAGGACTAAAGGTAAGGAAAGGGCAGGGTCTGAGTTCAAGTCTCCATGGGAATATCAAGTCCAGCTGAGAGTGTGCCCTGCCACATGAGAGCAAAGATTCCTCCACACAGTTGCTTATTCAGTCTTGTTCTGATGTGCTGACATTGACTCTATTGTGAGGCATAAAGGAAATAATGCACAGATTCATCACTGCAGTGATAGAGGTGGTAGAGACCTGATCCTCAGCTGTTAATACGGAAAATCTCTACATATGACAGATATCCAGGAGTCCAGTTAGTCCTCTTTTTTTTTTTATTTTATTTATTTATTTTTTCAGGACCGAACCCAGGGCCTTGCGCTTGTTAGGCAAGCGCTCGACCACTGAGTTAAATCCCCAACCCCCCAGTTAGTCCTCTTAATGTCCAGTATTCCATCATGTTTCCTCATCTTTCTCTGGATCTGCAGTCACACTTCTGCAAACTTCCCTGAGATGAGAACTCTGAGATAAGAATCAGGAGATGTCTCTAAGCCAACTAGATCCTGCTGCATCCATGAGCTCTAAGAAAAGGGATTATTCCCAGGAGTTAAAAGAAACATCTATGTTCAGACTTACCAGTAATTACAAAGGGGGGAATCATCCCTGAGACACCTGTGGCAGTATATACAGGATCCCATGGAGGTTCTCAGCCAGCCCATACCTCCTCGTTTAGTTCTATCTTCAGAGGCTTTGATCTGCTCTTGTATCACTTTCCACTGGGCAGTAAAGTTTCTAGGATGTCCAGTCTTCTGTTACAGCTTTAAAAAGTGACACCCTAAAAGGCCTGATGGGAGACAGGGATAAGTCAGAGGATAGAACCCTGGGGTGTGGAGACACTTGGGATTGGACAGTTTGAGTGTGTGATGGGCTGTTCAGAACGTCACCACTGAAGACACTGATCTGAGTTTCTTCCTGTTCTTTTCTTCTACAGGATAAGACAGCTGTCTTCATGTGGTACTGCGCCATACAGGATTTGTTCTGGTTTCTTGTTTTCCCATTGTGGCTTTAAGAGCTGGTTCCTTCCCTTTCTGCATCTGACTCTGATTATGTGTCCCTTATGTGAGCACAATGTAAGCAGGTGATGCATTCATTAGAGCCCTGATTAGCAACAATCCCCATCCCCACACTTACTGTGTGTCTTCTCCATTCATCTCCCCAGTTCCAACACCAGCTGGCTACACTTCATGCTTCTTTCTTGAAAGTACGAATTTGTTTAGGGTTGTACAGCTTCTCATCAGGCTAGGTGATTGATTTGTGTACTAAAGATGAGTAAAACTAGATGGAAAAAATTAAGACTCAGAATCTTATAACATTTGTGTTTATTGTGTTAATTCCATTGCCTATAACGACAGTTCCAGGCTGTGTGGAGCCACGTGGCCTGGGATATGGAATTGTTTCTCAGTCCACCCTCGGCTTTCACATTATCACTTCTCACCTGTGTTTTATTGCTAGTACCTCAGCCCTATTCCTTCAATAAACATGTTTCACCAGAATATGGTCAAAAAGTCCCGGACACTCTTAGGGCCTTTTCCAGTGTCTGTGCTGTTCTTTCGTGTTGGCAGTCCATGTCTCTGCAGGAATTACCCTTGTTCTCAGTACTGTGTTTGAGTTGGGGTCATTCTCTTCTGTGTGTCTGCTGTCATTGAAGGCAGTGGGGAGTGTTTCTGTCATTGTCCTTACATGGATCTCTGTGGTATTCACACTGAAGTTGTTAGAGTCAAACTCTGGTTTCTGACAGCCCCAGGTCAGAACATGTCTTCAATCCCACCACAGTGGATGCTTTGTCTAAAGAATTGTTGCCAGTTCAAGATCAACCTGGGCTACATTCTGAAAAACTATCTCCAGAGATAGTTATTAAAACTAAAAAACTAAATGAACAGATTAAAAATTATATAGTATGAGGGATGTACAAGAGTACAAGTACTATACTAATGGCAATCCAAAGAAATCCCAACTGGAAGTGACACATTCCCTCCAACAAGGCCACACCTCCTAATCCCTTCAAGTAGTGCCACTCCCTCGTGACCAAATATTCAAATATATGAGCATATGGGGGTCATACATATTCAAACCACCACAGTCCCCCCACAAAGTGTCCATGGTATTGTACTGATGCTTGAGTCTTGGGAGTCTGTGGAGGCTCAACCTGGTGTCATGGACAGATACAATTTTGCTTTCTCCATTTTTTTGCCCATGTTCTGAGTGCCAACCATGCAACCAGGGCTGCAGGAGGCCAACCTAAGAGGGAAGGTATAGAAATAGCGTAGCCAGTGTGAGCCTGGGGGAGTGAGCAGCAGGACTGCACCCTCCTCCTGGGACCCAGGAGGGCTGTCTAGTAGGGGAGACAGGCAGGTCTGATTGAGGTAGAACAAGGCTAGGCTTCTCCTTGACTGGAGTGGTGCTGCACAGAACCCTGGGTGCTTCAGACAGATGCTGTTTCTCTCAGGACTTGCTCTCAGTTGCCCATGTCTGAGTTAAGGCCAGATTGGCTGCCAGCAGCAGGAAGAGGGCCAAGAGTAAAGAGGTCTTCATCCTCAATGAATGGTATAGATTGAGTCCAGAGTGGTCTTTATCCCCTTTATAACACTGATCAGGGTAAGTTGACTAGATTTTCTAAGAATTCCCAGTAGAAGTGACAGAGACCTGGTGGGTTGAGTCATGGAAAGATTATGCCCTGGGAGAGGATTCTCTAGAGCCCTGCTTCCCACCTCAGACCCAGCTCTGGTGCCTAGTATCCTGGGAGCAGTGTCAGGGACAAGTTGATCTTTCTAATCCTTGTACTTGTCCCGCTGACAACATCCTTCTGAGTCCGAGCCCAGGTGCTAATCTGGCTGAGAGGATAAAGGAAGGAAAGAAATGATGAACCCCATTTCCCTAACTGACATGCCCAACACTGAACATTTATTCAATGGGCCTATAACATTTTTAGGCCCAAGAAATGAAGAAGGACGGGACAAAGTATTGGAGCAAGAGACAAGGAAATACCTGTGCTGTGGTGGCATTCCCGCTGAGCTGCACCTGGCCTGGCTCCAGAGAGCAGCACCTAGCCCTAATCCGTCTTTTGTTTAGCAGACACCTTTTGTTTCTCTTGCTGTCCTCTGTGTGAATCTTGTCTCCCAGTTTCCCAAGGATACAAAGGCCTATGCAAAACTTGATTCAGGAAACCGGGAAAACCGTGGTACCTGAGAAATCGAGGAATTTGCACTTGGCACTGTATTGTTAGGAGCCCCTTTCAGGGTGTTTTGAGCATATGGAAATTAACTGGCTAAACCGTATTGGAGAGAAATAAAACTGCCCTAGGTGAAGGGAAGAGTGCTCCAGTCCTTCCAGGCTGAAACCCCCTGCAGCCATGAAAGGCTAGATTCATTCTTAAGATGCTTCTGAGACTTCATTCCATGGACCCGCGTGAACTCACACACCCGTGCTATGACCACACAGTTACACTGTGCATCTGAGAGAATTTTGATAAAGAACCTCTAGTTTATACTCTGAGTCCACAACAGAGCCAGAATGGTGAGGGATCCCAGACTGGGCCCTGAGCTTCTACCATGCTGAGATCACCCTGATCTGGCAGAGAGAAGGGAACAACCAGACCCAGGACACAGAGGTGGTGGGCACCAGGCCTGCAGAGGATGGAATTGTCCAGAAGTGAACAGCTGTAGTGGTGCCATATGGACAGCAGCAGAGAACCACATACCCTGAAGGGCTGAGATGGGGTAAGTAGTGTGTATGTGAACACAGAGCCTGTTCTTGGGGAAGATGAAAGCTGTTTTGCACCCTGGCAAAGAATTATGTCTTAGATCTTGTGGTCAGAGGCCATATTTGGCTTTCTTTGCTTCTCAAAATCCTGCATGCCCTGGTAGCACACTTAAATCTCTTCTCTTCATACTGCAGCATAAAATGAGATCGAGTCATTGTCTGCCAATCCTTTCCCCAGTTGACTCCGGCAATGACAAAATCTAAGCTCTCTAGAGAACACTAGGATTTTTGAGCAATTGAATTCCTTGCCATAAACTTAACTACTTCCTAATGTTTTTAAATTTGCTGGCAAAATTTGTGATACCAGTAACAATTGAGATTTGATAGTATTTATTGAAATGTGTGAACACTGACAGATCTCTGGACTTGGACAAACCGTGCCCTGCTTATAACATAACATCTATTAACATGAAAACCACTCAACACACAAGACTCTCCCGTGGACACGAACTGAGTACTGTGTAGTGTTCAATGACAATTCATGTTTACAGAATAAACATCCTTAACAAGTACCACATGTGTCAGCTTAGAGACATATCATAGGTAAAAATCTACAGGGACCCAGTGTGGTAGCTCATGCACTTAATCCCAGCCCTTTGGAGGAAATGGTAGGTGTATCTTTGTAGGTACAAAGCCAGCCTGGTTTACACAGCAGGTTCCAGGCCAGCCAGGAATACATAGTGAGACCCTGTCTCAAAAAATAATTGACAATTATCTGAAGATGTTCATCAAAGAAATCCTCCTTGAGCTGGAAGAGGGCTCAGCAGTGAAGAGCACTTGCTGCTCCTGCAGAGGACCAGAGTGTGTTCTCATCAACCAGGCTTCCCAGCCTACAAGCTGCTCAACTCTGGGTCCACGGTTTCTGGTGCCCTCTTCTGACTTCAGACAACTGTTCTCCTGGATACAAACACAAGAGGGACTGAAACATATAAGGAAATACCAGAGGTCAGCACGGGTTATCCTCCCTAAGGATGCTGGTCACATACTTTGGCACAAAGTTTCTCACCAGCCTGGAGCTCACAGATGTTTCGAGCTGCTGGCAGTCAAGCTCCAGGATTCTTGTCTCCACCTCCCCAATGCTGGAGTATAAGGGCCTGGGACCTTCCTTTGACTTGGCTGCTGGGTGCTGGGGCTCTAACTCAGTTCTAATGTTTCAAGGGAGGCACTGCTGAGAGTGAGCTGTGAACACAGCCCTGGCACTGAGTTGTAAACAGAGTTCTCTGGAGAAGGAAAGGGTTCTAAGGAAGGACTACAGGGCCTGCCTTTGTGGCTGCCTGATCTCTGAAACATGGGCCTGGTGAGATTGGATTTAA